ACACACACACACACACAGAGCCAACTCTCAGTAGCCAGCCAGCTAACGTCAAGTTTGTGCCCGGTCACTAAGTTGGTCTGCAGCAGGAAGAATTTCACGGTAAGTGCGCTGCGCTGACGTTAGCCAGCGTTAGCCACATGGTTTGTTGTTGTTTGTTTTTCTGTCAGCGTGTTTGTGCCACAGTGCTAGCTAACTCAGGTAGCTAACGTTAGCTAAGTTTCAAGAACACTTACGGGTCTTGAAATGCGTTTTATTACCAGCGCGGCATACTAATTAAAAATAACTATATGTAAATGATACAAGAGCTGGCTAATAATTCATTGATGGGGTTAGCTGCTGCACTGAAGAGCAAAGGTATCATTGCAACAGTGAATGACTCACTGCATGCCTGACATCCTTTGACATTTGCAAGCATTGCAAACAGCCAACTGTGTGATGTAGGCGGGGGTTAGTGATCCTAATGAACTGAGACTCCGGAGCTAACCTCGCTGCTTTGTATGTCACATTTATTGCCACAAACACACAAGACCTGTGTCCACACACTGCCACTGTATTGGCTTTGTAGGAGAGCAAGTGTCTGTTCTTGTACCTGCAGTGTGAGGTAGCATCAGGTGGTGATGAGCAGGCCACTGATGGTAGGACTTCATTGGCAGCTTATTACAGTGTGCCATTGCTTGTTGAAAAGAAATAATAGATGATAATGGATTTACTTCCCTTGCTGACCTTATGACATATAATTATATCATTTCATTTATTTTAGAATTTCTTTTCCTGTTAACTATAATTCTTTAGTACACAAAATGTCAAAAATTGCTTTTGTGGTCCACTGAAAGCAAGACATTATATAGATAGATATTCAATGATATGTGACTTAAATTATGAATCAGTTCTTAAAATGTTGTCAATCAGCAAAGCATATAAGCAAGTAATTGTTTAAAAGGCTAAATAAAACTTCCAAACTGTGTTTTTGGTGGATTAGAAACCACAAAATAATAGTTTCCCCCACAACTTCTTCAACACTGCCTTTTTCCTCTGTACCTATCTTTTAAGACACTGTAAACAAGCCTCATCTAATTTCATAGTGTAGCACAGCACAGTATTGTGTTTTAGGTCACTGGTCTGCCGGCATGCTTTAGTGGCTGCTGGTATTGAACGTTTTGTTTGCGTGGTGTAGTAGTGTTCAGTTCTCAGAGGCCAGAAGTCTGGGCCAGAAGTGAGCTGTCCTCAAGTTCCTGTGCTTTGTGCTGGTAAATGATTGACCCAGCCTGCTTATTGCTCTGCCCGTATATCCTGCAGCCTCAGCTAACAGTTGAACTGCTGTCTGAAGGTTTCCACTGGGCAGCCACAGTCGCACCTGAACGTTCTGTAATGGGGCTAAATTATGAGAAGCCTGTCGAGAAAAGTCCAGATACAGACGAATTTATAACTCATCTTGGTCATTTTCGTGTTTCATGTCTTTATTTGGACATCCTGTTGGTTCCATTGGAATTTCTGCATATGGTTTAAAATACGACCAGCTCTGTAATACTAAGATCGTTTAAGCTTATAACATTCACAAATGGTAATCGCACAACATGTGTTAGGAGTTTTGAATGACATAGGCACTTAGTAGAAGAAGTAGTAGACCAAAATAAACTATAACAGTTGGTCCCATTATGCCAAATATACCACCATATCACCACTACTGAGGTTTCATGTTACATGCATGTCATGTGGGAATAGCAAAGCAACTTGCTTGTAATATCACCAGGCAACGATTCATCTTTTCCAACTACTTAATTAGAGTTTCATTAGTTGTCAGTTCATTCATTTATTATTCTTTTGATGAATGGACTAGAATCAGTCTGATGCTGATTGCAGTTTCCACAGTCTACAGTGATGTTTTTAAATTGTTTGTCTGACCAACTGTCCGAAACCCAAAAGATAGTCAATGTGCAGTGACATCAAACAGAAATAGAAAAATCCTCACGTAAATGATGAATCCAATATCAAATTAGTTAATTGACGCTTGTTTCAGCACTAAATGTAATATAAAACGCCCTTTTTGCCAAACTTGCACATTTTCTGTTTCAGTTATAACTATCTGAATGACCTGCCATGGCTAAAGATGTGATCTAGCACATTTTATACTGTTGTATTATATTATTTCATTTAATTGTGTTTCAGATTACTTGTTGACATATGTTTTTCACTTACGTTTTACCACACACAAAAAAAAAGCTTGATAATGATCGTTTCCCCCAGCCCTCTTTAATGTGTCAGTGTTGAGATATCAGGCAAGACTGTCATTTGCATTTTAGAACAAACTGAAGGTTTGAGGCTCATTTGGACACCACATGCTAATAAACCTGTATTGTAAATTGAGCAAAGGGAATGTATGACCCAAAAATGCTAACTGACACAAGGGCTATTTTTCTAGTCATTGAAGGTTTAAATGTGACACTACTACACTGCAGAGAGTTTATAACCCAACTTTATGACTGCGTCATTGTAGCAACTGAGTTATAGTGGAACTAGTGTGTGTGTGTGTGTGTGTGTGGGTTGGGTGTGGATGTCAAGTAAATCCTGAGTTTATACTTGCCATGTATGTGGACGTTGTGTCATCACTGTGTGTGTGTGTGTGAGTATGGTAGAGGGCAGGGCACAAGGCAGGGCGTTGTATCTCTACCAACAGCCCCAGTTACTTGGAACAAAAGCTCTGTTGTTGAAAGATCATGTGACTGTGTGTGTGTGCGCGCGTGTGTGCGTGCGTGTTCCACCCTTGTCATGTGATCTGAGCTCAGGGCAGGGTCTGAGAAGTGCTGAGTAGCTCTGAGAGGTTCCTTCCATCCAGGGAACAGGCAGAGAGAGACAGCGAGCATGCAGGCGGAGAGAGGAGGTGAACTGCCAGGCAGATGGATGGACGGATGGATGTTGGACAGAGAAGAGGTGTGGGAGAGAGACAGACAAAGATACAGAAAACGTCCTGTTGCTCTCGCTTACCATGGCAAGACAGCACCAGCCTTATTCTTTCATCCTGCTTCTCGTCTCTCTGTGGATTTTGAAGCAGCAGCCAAGTAAAGATGCAAGCCTGCGTTTTGAATCGCATCAACTTTTCTGTGGCAAGGCAAGTTCAGACTTTCTTTTCCTTTTAGTTGGACGTGTTTGTTGGGATCACGTGGTGGGAAAGTTGGCCTGTCAGGATGACTCTGCTGTATCTTGTGAAGTCTCCAGACTACCACTGACTCACCATGAATCAGAAAAATATTTGCAAAAGAATCGAGCAACTCGCTCCCCTCACCCCTGAATTTGAGGCATTCACATTAAGACATGTAGCTCTAGCTGTTATACACAATGGCTCTCATTTCATATTTCAATTCTTAGAATACCAGCATGATTAGTCAGGAGTGAAAAGGTCACGCTGGCTGCTTTTAACCTTTAAAATGATTCATTTCTTTGCTTGTAATGTGACAGGTATCTGCTGGTAGTTTCTGAATGAAAGTAGTTTGCTGAAATGGTAATAATGCAGGCTCTTTTACTCCTTTACTCCTTTCCACCTCCGTTTGAGCTGAGTAGCGATAAGGCAGCCACGTGTTCGTAGGCGTCCAGCAGGTCCTGTAATACTTGTTTGAGTCAATGAAACCTGCTTGAGAGACTCTTAACAGATCAGTGTATTTGCTTTTGTGTGTGTGATTGAATGTGTGTGCATGGGATTAACCCACTCTGGGCCTGCAGCATGCATGTTTCATAGTCCGGGTCTGTATTTCTCCACCTAGATAAATGTTTTCAGTATCTTAGTTGGGTGAAAATATAGACAGGATAGAGAGGAAACAACAACAGAACAAATCTCATCTAAAATCACGGCATTCAAGAGAGGAATGCAATGAGAGGTTATTGCCCAGGCTGGTCCATACTGACGTATGCTGTCATTGTAGTGCCAGATCATTCTGTTGACCGAGTGAAAACATACATGCACCACATACAGGACTCTGCACTTTGAGCCTTTTTTCCACTCAATGTCTTTCTAAATGACATTATAACGAAATGAGTGAGATAGGCTCGATAGATTACCAAAACCCAGTGTGTCACAATCCCCAGCTCTTCCGTGAACTTGCAGAATGACCTCTGTCAGTTTAACAGCAAAATAACGGCACATGGTGCAACACATGTACACACCTTTCTTTGGTTATCCTGTTTCTGTGCCAGAGAGCAGTATTACAACATGTCTGCACGTTGTTAAAAAGTCTAAAATCCAATACGCTGAATTTTAGGCCTTAAAATGTCTTTAAAATCATCAGTTAAATTAATGTTACTTGTATAAAGTTGAATTTTTTCAATCTGTCTGTATTTTTGGGAAACGTGTATTGCTCCATGCTGTAACAACTACAAAACAAAACTGACATGGAACCAATAAAGATTTCCCTTAATATCCTTTGTACTTTTTTTTGCCAGTGTGGACGTGAAACAGGTGTTAAATTGCATTCATAATGGTCTTAAAAAGCCTCACATCAAACCTGAGGAAACCTGCAGAAAGCCTGTATGAACTGAGAATTAAAATGGACCACCGCACACTGAAATGAGTTCACTGTGACTTTATTAGGAACGAACAAAGTGCTTCGCCTCTAGCTCAGCCTTGATGATGTTCCTGCAACCTCCCAGCACCTGATGGCTGATGGCTGTGCACGGGGAGTTCCTGCTTTAATATCAGAAAATAAAACTGGTAGCATAAAGGGGCTGTGCCCTCTCTCCTGATTTCCTGGGACTCAGGACTCACCAGTTAGATGCTTTTGTGAGACCTGTGGATGCGTCTCATGGTGGTTGAACCCCTGCATGCGTACTGCAAGTCTGAACTAACCTAGCCCCTCCAAGACAGAACATACAGCGCTGTAGATGAATATCTGCTGTATGCTGTTGAATAATTGAACAGAGGATTTCCATCTGAGCTGATATCATGTTGGTCTCAGTAGTGGAGGAAACACCAGCACTGCATCGCTCATTCATTATAGAGCAGTTAGAGGAACTGAGCACGTCCTCATAGACACCATGTTAGAGGATGTATGGTTTGTCATGCATGAATTAACATTGTGTTAACATTTTGCACTGAAAAATGTGGAAAAATTGAAGTGTCGTTGAGTTATTTTTTAGCTAATCCTTTTCTTTGTGTGTGCAGAAGAATTTGAAGAATTTTGCCCAGGATTATCTTTAAGCAGAGGGTGGGCTCCCTTGGCTGTATAAGAGGGTAGATGTGCTGTTGTCAGTTAGGAGAATAGTTTGTTCTGTTTTTGACCTTGTTTATGTTGAAAATAAAGTGTCAAAGTGTCATCCAAACACATCTGTTGATGTGCACGTAGCTGTTTTGAATGGTGGCCTGTAAAAGAAACACTTTCAGTTCTCAGTTTCATTTCTAGCACATGTTGATTTTGCTGGATGAAATGTAGAACTGTAGCTAGTAGATTTTATCAGCTATAGCTAGCTAGCTAATTAAGGTAATGTTAGCTCCTAAAGTGGATTAAAAACGTCTCTGGCTGACTTTTTAATCAGGCAATTGAAAGCTACACAAGCAAAAGTCAACATCCTCACCAGTTGATGATTCATGTAAAAGACATGGAAATAAAGACAGGATAGAGGAAGTATTGTAAGTATTGTAAGGAAAAATGTAAGACCTTATTTTATTTTATTCTAATATAACACTGTGGGGTTACTTTACATACTTGAACAAGTGAGACAGGTTAGATTTTACGCTTTATAGTTTGTATTTTCTGTTGAAAGACTAATGAATGTGTTTCAAATGCCAGATTTGGATGGAGTGGCTGCAGTGTAAGTCCAGAAAAGAGAAAGACAGATCTGTTAATGCTACCTTAAACTCTGATCTAGTAGCATCAAGGGTCGGCTCCCACAGCGAGGATGTTCTATTCTGGTCTGAACGGGGCTTTTTTTTAACATAACCTGTAACCCCACTAAACAATGTAGCATGAAATGCTCCTTGGCCTTGGAGGGGGGGGGTTGAAGTTTACTGACACCTTAAGTTGCTGTTACTCTTACTTTTTTGTTCCCTTTGGAAGCTACACAACTGACCAGTGTGTGAAGAATACCACAAATCCCAAGTCAGCCCTTTAAAATCTGTGTAAAGAGTAGGTGTAGCATCAGCTTACACAAATTCATGCAGTTTGTGTATCTATCTGCCTCTCCATGCTCCTGCCTTCCCTTTGTCTTATATCCTATTGTCGCCCCGCAGAGCAGCACAGAACAGGAACCGAGGGCCCTGAGGTTCTTAGCAACTGTTACCATGGTTCCAGTGTGCCCTGCCTAGATCTTCCACTGGACACTGTGTGCGTGTTTGAAGGGCTGACTTGGCTTCCTGTCAGTGCATCTCTTCCTGTAATAGCAGACAGGCACTTCCTGTAAGCCACAGCCAGAAGCAAAGAGATGAAAGAGATACCGAGATCTCAGCCTTTAATGAGGTCTTGGTCTACAGTTGGAGGAAGGTGTTGTTGCATTTCAGCCAGGTGATTTTTATTTTGGAAAGAATTGTTCAGGTCATTAAGTGTGAGCAGTCAGGATATGGCAGTGCTCCAGGAAACTTTCATTTATTTATTTTTTAGTGAAGCAACTTTTTAATGAAGGTTTTGGGAAATACCGAAAGTTAGATGAAGAGATTGATTTTGCTCTCATGTCTGCACAGTGAATATAAAGCAGCAGCCAGTTAGCTTTGCCTAACATAAAGACTGACAACAGGGAAACAGCTTGTATGGCTCTGTCCAAAGATAACAAAATCCACCTATCAGCAACCCTAATGCTCACTAAACATTGGCAAGAAAGCATATTTTTCAAAAACGTCCCCACAGGAATATTTTCAAAGCAGTGGGTCGTCTAGACAACAATTGATTCATCATTTTAAACAAGGGCACAGCACAGGCCTGGCACTGGGGAAAAGGCAGACTTCTGTCATCATCAAACTTACTTTTGACACAATATGGTCTTATGCTATTGATGCATCACAGACTTTATTGTGTTGAACAAAGTTTTGTTTACCAAGTCTTCTCTCTCTTCTCTCCCCAGGGTCCTTTGTTCAGCAAACTGGTGGGGGGCCACCAGACGGAGGTGCTGAGGGGAACCACTGGCTGTGACTGCTGATCCCAGAGGAGCATGAGTCATGACCTCAGTGGTACTGGTCGACACTGGTGGGACGGTGGTGGAGTATGTCACAGCCGAAGAGGACCCCCAGCAGGTGGAGTGGAGACACAATCTTTTCTACTTTCTGTTTTATTCTCTCATGGAAAACCTGTTTTTACTGTCTCGCTTTCTTCTGTCTCTCAATCCCTTTGCCCTGCAGGAGGGAGAGTGCGAGGTGGACGAGGATCTTGAAGGAGAGGTAGAAGGTGAGTGTGAAGCTGAGGAGGCCTATGAAGAAGTACAGGACAGGGAGGAGGCTCAGGACTACCCGGCAGTCATAGTAGAGGAAGTACCCGGCGCCAGCCTGGCCGAGGAGCGAGGTTACTCAGCCCAGGTGTTGGTGTACGAGGACGAGGCCTACCTGATGCAGGAAGTGGGAGATGAGCAGGAAGTGGAGACAGAAGGGGAGGCAGGTGAGACATACCCATATTTATCAGAAATTGGCTCATAATCCTCCTATTGGTGCTCTAGGTTAGTGCAACAGATGACTATCACATAAAACACTTACAAAGCTCGGTCGCTCAGAAACCTGTTTGACCCGAGGTGTTTGACTTGTGTTTCATTTCTGTATCTTGTTACCACTGCTGATACACAGTTCCCATTTCCTCTGGGTCACTAAGGTGTTATATTATTGGAAAAAGTGAGGAATTTTCCCTGCTGTCACCTGCTGCTGAACTGTTCACATTTTGGATATGGCTGCATGTTTCAGAAACAAGACATTGGTTCTGGACATTTACTTCAATTTTTATTTTTCTACAGTTGTAACGATTTACAGATTTTCAACTGTAGCCAGAGCTGTTGACTAATAGTGTCATAGTGCTGAATCCATCAAATCAAAATGCTTTGATTCATATTGTACCTTAAAATGTTGATGATCTGCTATGTTCCTCTCTTCTCCCCTGACTTTAAAACTTCTCAAGCTTCTGGTATATTAGGTTAGGTTAGAGTGTGTATTTAGTGTTTTATAGAAAATGTTGCTTTTGTTTGTTGTGGTTGTGCTGAAATGGGACATATTTGTCATATGATTTTGCTGTCAGTGACAGTCTGGTGAAGTAGGATGTGATGGTTACAGGCCTCTGTGTTCACACACTGCCACCTTGTGGATATTTTTTGGACAGTAACTATTTCATGACCAGCTCAGGTACCCAGTATTATCTTTAATAAACCATTAATTCCTTATCAATGTGACTAGAGTCTAGTCCAATCCAGTGTTCGTAAGTATAAAACAGACTGAAAGACTGAGTGTGTTAATATTATTTTGAACTTATAAAAGCTTCATTCATTCGTACTGTCTGAGATTACATCTCTAAACTCCATTTTCACATAGCAGCATCAAAAATACGTTATAATTAACATGAAATGTTTTGCATCACTGCATATCTTTGCCAATTTTACACATTCAGTCAGCTTGGAGGTCATAATTATTAAAAATACATATATTGTACAGTTTACTGTATTTTTTGGGGGGAGGGGATTTTATTGCCTTTAATTGATAGTGACAGCTGAAGAGTGAAAGGAAAGGGGAGAGAGAGGGGTGATGACACGCAGCAAAGGGTCACAGGTCGGATTTGAACCCTGGGCTCAAGATTCATTTGTTAGAGTAAAACTGAAAAATGTAATGGCACTGTGTACCTACCACCATGGGTGACCCTCAGCTGAAGAAACTAGTGTTCAAAAAACCCTTACCTTTAGATACATAATTGTTGTCTCTTTGTGTAATTCATTAGTTTGTGTCTGTTTAATCTCTTAGACAAACAACAACAAAAGAAAATCAATTCAATTCAATCAATTGAAAAAAGTTTGAAAATGCTGTAGATACAGATACTTATAGGTCAACAAAAATCTTTGCAAGCTGCAAAAACTGCAAGCTGTAAGTGTAGTAGAAAACTATAGTTATTATTATTTATTTAAGAGTTTGGGTCGTGTCTTTTGATTCATGATGTTGCCTCAACCGTTAAATTATTTTTGACACAGTTTGAGCAAAACTAAAGAATATTTTGTACATGTAATTTTTAATGGTTATTTGCACTTTATTAGTTATTTGGTTAATGATAATATTTGAATGTACATAATGTATATGTTATCTTGCAAAATGTACAGTATATTCCTCACATGCAATTAACTATTGCAAAAGTATCTATTTCAATCATGGAATTGATAATAGCCTCCTAATAGATTAATCAGTGTGTTGGAGTGTATTTGTCTTGTACAAAGAAATCTTTGTTAAAACAACAAAATACATGTTGTGAAGTAATTCTAATCCATAGTATAAGCACAGCAACAAACTATGCAATCACTACAAAACGCTCATTGTTTTGAACTAGGTAGGTAAAAGTAGGTTAGATAGTCTTGTTGAAGTGTACAATTCTTAGCTGTCAATTCACTGTTCAAACTGCACGTTTGTTCTGAAATAGTTGAGTTTGTTTGTCCAGTGAGTTTATTTAAAAACGGTTATCACAGTACAGCTTTATTTGACGTAGTCACTACGCAAGTGAGGGAGGGCGATGGAAGGATTTCCTGTGTCGGCGGCGGAGGGATACTCTCCTGGCCCTGTAATGTGTCTCGTTGCATTCGAGGAGATTTCCCTTTAGCGGCGGAGTGATACGAGCTAGTAGCTTCCTATACAATTCAGTGAGAAGTCAATGTGAATCTGCAGCAAGGGGAAACATGGCGACTTCACAGCATGAGGGGCACGCAAACCAGCTCGATCTACTCATCAGAGCTGGTAACGTATCTTTACGTCGCTACAGCCTCGACCCGGGAGCTAACGCTAACGCACGGCTTGTGTTTTGAGGCTCGACCGCTGCGCCTCAGTGCGCTGAGCAGTGTGCTGAAGTAATGGAGGGCAATCAGGAAGTGATCACCTTGGTAGCAACCTGCATGGCGTTGCTACACGGTTTATCAAAGCCGGTTTAAGAGGCGAAAAACTGCCGCAGGGCTCGCCAGTGTGCACAGACGCATAGTTACCTGCACAAGGTGTGTTTTGCATGTTGGAGCAGATTTTTCTCTCCGCGGGGTGATGAAGAATAACGGTTCGCAGATCGGCGCTGCACAACCAGGAAGTGTAAAGATGTTGTCTTTCCTACGTCTTTGCCACGCTGTCTGAGTCGGAAGGACATGTGGGTTTATTTTTACTGGCGTGAATGTGGTACACGGTGTTAGATATCAGCGCTTTATTATTATCATTTGGTAGTATTTAACCGTGATTGGCTTTCGATTGTTCCGTTAGTGGGATTTATGTACAGTCTTCACACATTGTCCCCGGATAACAGTGGACATAAACAGTAATGAGCAATGTATGATATTAGTGGTGAGCACATTTCACACGTTTGCAGTGGCAGCTGTTGTGATATTCAGTGTGTGCTCTGGCTGAAGCTGTGGGTGAAGCTGTGGGTGAAGCGTGGGACGGCCTGGCTCACTCGCTTTCTTCCCTGTACTTGTTTCAGGTGCGGCTCAGTCTTCGACCTCGCAGAGCTGAACACACACATTCTGTGAGATTTCAGTCGCTTGGTAACCGAGCCCGGTGATTAACCATAGGTTTTTAAAACACCGCGTCGTTTTCGTGTTTAACCGCACATTTCAAAGTATTTTTGTCCCGTATCGATGGCGGAAGCATTGTGTATGTGAGGGGGCGGGGCGTGTCGTTGATCGACTTGCCTGTTAGTCCAATAGCGTGCGCGCAGCTTTAGAACGTCAGCAGGAGGCCAATCAGATTTAACGGGGGGCGGGCTCTTCATACAAGAAGGAGCCAATAGGAGGTGAGGCGGGTGTTGAGTGACAAGAGGATTTGTGAGCTTCTTCGAAGAGAACTGGAGGGAAAGGATGAGGACTGTAAACACGGAAGTTATCGGACGCAGCACTACTTTTTGTCGGACTTGCTGCAATTCTTGGCGCCGTTACACTTTATTATAGCTTCATAATAGGGATTTTCCTCACATATAAAAATATTCTAATACTTTTATTATATGCCACCCACACATAATGCACATTTGATACAAAATTGTCAATGTTTTGTAATCTACTATTTCTCAATAATTAAGCATACATCAAAATCCTAACATTCTAGACAGACTAGAAATGGCCAAAGTATCTCTATGTGGTTATGTAAGTCAAGCCAAGCCGTGGCTCTCTGACCTCACTTTTTGGTGGTCTCTGCTGTGATATCTACCAGCATGTCCTGTTTGTTTATAAGAGTGAGTGAACAGTGGACAATCTAAAGATAGCCCATTTCTCTCCTGTGCCTGTTGCCTCAGTGAGATAGCCAAACATGGACAGGGTGTAACGCCATCTCGTGTTTCCCACCACTGATTGACACCAACAGCAGGTGCCCTGGGTCCCTTGTCAGGGTCCCAAATGGGGCCATGTACCACTTCTTTTACAACAGACTGAATCCCATTTTTGTTTTAAACAGCACTGTGTCTTTTGGTGCCATGTCTTGCCATAGTTGAGATAGTAAATCAAGACTGTTTATTCTAGCTGCCTGTCAGTGCCATTTCTGCATGCTGGTTTTGGAAGGTGGCTTTATGTGTAGTTCTGTACTTGACCTCCCTGAACCTTTCCTCCTGTCACCCTTCTGCATGCTGAAACAGTACGGTATCTGGTATGCAACTTCACACAAAACGCAATAGTGCAATTGGTGTGAAAACACTGTCATGATAACTAGTTGCCAAAGAGGCACATAATGAAGACATTTCCTGCTGTCAAGGTTTCACTTTACATTAAGTCATACTGTGTCTGGATCAGAGTGAATCTGTCCACTGAAATTGTCATATCAGTGTTGTAAAAGCAATTTGGCTTTTCACTAGGGGGCGCCATATAGTTGCATTTTATGTGCAGCACTGTGTTAATAGTGTGATAGATGTGACAGTTGGCAGTACTACTATGGGAAAGCAAGGTGTTGATCCTCTGTGTGGATTTATTCAGTGTAAAACAGGCTGAGCTCAACCAGTAGCTTTATTTTTGCTAAACTATTTTCTTATCGTCTCTGTGTTTTCAGTGGAGGCCTCTGTCCATGGCACCAGTATCCACTGCTCTGACAAGACCTTTGAGGCTGCTGAGGCTCTGCTACGCATGGACTCACCTTCCAGCCTCAGAGAAGACCGTAGCCCAGGTAACACACACACACACACACACACACAAACATAGTTATTTACACAATTTAGAAAAGATTACAATTCAAACTGATAATTTCATCACATAATTATATTCATCTTTATGTGGTTTGTCAAAGACATTTCTCGGCTGTTATCTTTGCTGTAGTTTGAACAAAGCATGCATTCAAGGTTAAATAGTTCCTAAAGCTCCAAAATATAGTTTTAGGGAGGTTTCACAGCCCCTACAGTTTTCCTAACCTTTAGAACGAACCCAGCACTGTAAGCATTTGTTAAACACGTAGATTGTTGGTACTGTAAACTTGGTGAAAAGAACCAAGATTATGAAATAAACATTTTTGAACTTTTCTTTTCCCACAAGGAGCTTTAACCTTTTTAGCAATAAGAAAGTGCAGTTGTGAATTTCTCATCAACCAAATGGTTAGTAAAACTTCATAACGCAGCTTCAAGTCTCACTCTTCCCTCTGTAATTTCCTCCATCCAGAAGCCTTTATTCCACCTTACGTAGCGACACCAGACTTCATTCACGCTGCCATGCGTCCTGAGATGATTGCAGAGACAGAGGTGGAGATATCGACAGAGGAGTGCTGCGACGACGAAGATGAGGAGATGGTCACCCTACTGGAGGAGCCAGAACCAGAGCCCGGCCACGAGCCTGTCAGGAAGAGGAGAGGTAGACAAAAAGAGCTTGGTTGTGTTTTGTGTTAACACAGAATTCACTGAAGTGAGAGAACCCTCAGTAGTCCAAAACTGCAGAAAAACTATATTTCCATGCAGTTGTTGACCCACTATTGGCTCCATATGTGGAGTGTGGGGAGTTGAGCTTTGGAAAATGGAGGAATTGTGTTTTGGAAAACCAAGTTTTAAATGGAAAACATCTGGCTGCTCTGTGATTAACCTTACCCCACAAGCCAGGCCGCAAACCTCAAACCTCGAGTTACACTGTTAATTACAGTTATTGAGTTTATCCAAGAGCACCATCTAGTGGTAGGCCCTTACTGTGGGTCCAAATCCAACCTCACAACTCTGTGATTGAAGCAAATGATTAAATCCTATTTTAAATTCTTCCTTTTTATAGCTGGACGGAAGCCAAAAACGCATCAGTCAGCTATTTCCAACGGTTCACCGGACCTCGGCATCAAGAAGAAACCAAGAGAAGGGAAAGGTACCTAACAGTACAAATGTTACTGGTTCTGATAAACGTAGATGTATACGTAAACCTGGTGCCATTTGAAAGTGTAACGCAAAGATAAAGGTGGGTCATTTGTTTGATTCCCAGCTGGGAGCACCACCTACCTGTGGGAGTTCCTCTTGGACCTCCTCCAGGACAAGAACACTTGTCCCAGGTACATCAAGTGGACCCAGAGGGAGAAGGGCATCTTCAAACTGGTCGACTCAAAGGCTGTGTCCAAGCTGTGGGGCAAACACAAGAACAAGCCAGACATGAACTATGAGACAATGGGACGGGCACTTCGGTGAGGACTTTGTTGGTGTGTGTGTGTGTGTGTGTGTGTGTGTGTGTGTGTGTGTGTGTGTATATGAGGGGAGATGTTGGATAGCTTTTTCATATTTGTGATTTTGGGAAGCAGCATCATAACTCCCGGTAATCCCCTTTCCTCAGATATTACTACCAGCGCGGCATCCTCGCCAAGGTAGAAGGCCAGCGGCTGGTTTACCAGTTTAAAGAGATGCCCAAAAACATAGTCATCATTGACGACGACAAGGCAGAAATGCCCGGCCCTGACGACCTGATCGACTCGGAGGCTGTCGCATCCTACGAGCGCGTGCTGCCCTTGCCCGACATGCTGCAGCAGGCGACCGAGCTGTCGTCCTCCAAGAAGCCCAACATCCTGCGGGGCGGGAACAGGGCCCACGTGGTCCAAGCTCCTGTCGCCACGGGCAGCAAGGCACTGGCGGGAGGTGGTGCATCGGTGGCGGCGGGGGTACCAAGGATAGTGACCGTTTCAACCGCACCAGATGGGAGTCAGACCCAGCAGTCTCACGCGGCCATCATCTCCAACGCCACTGGGCCCAGGTTAGACAAGGTTTTACATTAAAGGGTGTGTCATTAGCGGGCTAATGCAAATGTTGAACATCTCTCCCCCAACAGTAAGTATTGACCCTCTGTGCTGTCTTATGTTTCGTGTACAGGACGGTGCGGGTCGCTATGCAGGTGCCCGTAGTCATGACAACATCGCTGGGTCAGAAGATCTCCACCGTTGCTGTGCAGCAGCCGGCAGGAACGACGGGGGCAGCCGGCCACACCACCCTCCTCACCAACACATCTGCTCTAGGGGCCGTTGCTGGTAACACCAACTCGCAGCAGAAGGTGTGTGTACGTGGAAACTCATTCAGTGTGTTTGTGCGTATTATATCAGGGCATCTGCAGCAGCTAGGACGCTTTGTCGTCTCATAATGTGAAAAAATCTAAAGGAACATTTGAATTTATCATTTTTAATGAAGCCTTCAGTCCATTTTCTGCTGCTTCTCTGGGTCCAGGTTGCATTAATTTAACAAATTATATCAATAGGAATTACTGTTATATACTGCCGTGCAGCACAGTTTTTTAATATAGTAAGAAATAATTCTAGACTCATACCGTCCCTCCTGGTTTCCGATTCATACTTTGCCCGTTGTGATCATGAATTGCACTCCATGTGGTATTA